CCAAACAAGCATAAAATTTAACAGATTCCACACCCAACACCAGCAGGATGGATGCCAGTCTAGTCTCTGTCCTCGTACTCATGTAAAAACATTTAAATTGCATTATTTATTGTCTGTGTGATGCACACCATGGTGTGCGTATGGAGGGCAGAGGACAACCTTGAGAAATTGTCTCCTTTCACCACGCAGGGCCTCGTTGCAAGCATCTTTACTCACTGAGCTATCTCGCCAGTGGTCATATAGATCTTTAATCATATTACACATAGGTCTCTCTACATATTATGTTTTTATACCAAAAATGTAAACAGCAAACATTATCTAATAGAATCTCCACCCCCATCCCAACAGTTTTTCTTATTTTGATTCTTTTTACAAAAGATTCCACTCTTCCTTCCTTTGGTGGGAAGAGTTTTGGGGATCAAACCCAGAACCTTGCAGATAGTAGGCAGGGGCTCTACCACTGAGCCCCACCCCAGCCCCTCACTGGAGGATTCTAGGCAGGGCTCCACCACTGAGCCACGCCCACAGAACCTCACTGGAGGATTCTAGGCAGGGCTCCACCACTGAGCCACACCCAGCCCCTCACTGGGGGATTCTAGGCAGGGCGCCACCACTGAGCCACGCCCACAGAACCTCACTGGGGGATTCTAGGCAGGGCTCTACCACTGGGCCACACCCAGCCCCTCACTGGGGGATTCTAGGCAGGGCTCCACCACTGAGCCACGCCCACAGAACCTCACTAGAGGATTCTAGGCATACACTCTAGCACTGAGCCACACACACAGCACCTCATTGGTGAATTCTTTTGCTCAAAAAGAGACAGGGGAAGGCAGGATGTGGTGCCACATGCCTGTCATTTTAGTACTCACAAGGTGGCAGCAAGAGGATTGGGAGTTTTGGGTTGTCTTTGGTTATACAGGTGGGCTCAAAAGACCACACCAGATACTGTCTCACAAGAATACAAAGGGTGGCTCGGTTTTCATCCTGCCTGCTGGTGTTCCCTTTCTGGGAGCCAATTCTGAGACTGTGGTAACCTTATTAGGACCATTAGGAGAAGTGGCAAGGGGACAGGTCAACACACTGTGAATGAGCTGAAGTGATCTGGGTTTTCAATTTGATTTCTGGGTCAGGGAATACCCAGCAATGGTACGTCTTCCTCTCTCGACTCCTCCAAGCATCCTTCTGAGTTATAACTATTCAGTCTTGAAAATCACGTTCATCCTTCCTAATACCTTGGTGTTGATTACAAGACCAACTCAAACATGGTTTTCAACATGAAGCCAAATCTGGTTCTAGACTCTTTCCCTTCCTCCTCCCTCCTCCTCCAGAGCTCGAGAGCCCAGCTTGCCTTGCACTTGTGATGCTGCTCTCTGCCCAAGTGTTGGAATAGCAGGTCTGTGTTGTCATGCCTGTCTGGAGCCCAACAACAAACCACAGGAGTCAATAAATCCGAATCTTTTTTGGCCCTTGCTTTCTTCCCAGTCCTCATCCCATATCCTATTTCATACCCAATCTCTCAAACTCTTGAAAGATCTGTATCGAACATCTACTGTGCACCAGACTGGCCAACATGTTAAGGATACAGACACACACACACTTGGATAAAGTCCCTTTTATTTCAAGGTGTTGACAGACGTGTAAAAACAATAATCAAGTAATTCGTGATATTACTTGATGTGGAGATGGCTCAGTGGGATAGGGTACTTGCTTTGCAAGCTTGAGGACCTGGGTTCAAATCCCATAGCACCCACATAACGAGCCAAGCATTTTGCATACCTGAAACCCCATTATTGGGGGTGGGTGGGGACAGGCAGATCACAAGAGATTGCTGGTCAGTCAGTGAGCTGAATGGCAACCTCATGGCTCATTGAGAGACCCCGTCTCAAGGAAAGTGATGGAGGAAGGCACCTGACATCCTGCTCTGGTCTCCTCAGCATGAGCATGGGTACACACGCACCTCGGTACCCATGTGCATGCAGGTAAACAGATGTAAAGTAGTAAAATACACGAGGTTGTCATGGTTACCTTTCTGCTCTTGTGCCAAACACTACAATCAAGGTGACTTGGAGAAGAAACACTTTGTTTTGGCTTATGGTTCCAGAGAGTTGGCATCCATAATGATTGATAGCAGCCAGGGCAACTGCAGCAGAAAGCTGAGAGCCATGCCCCCAGCCCCTCACTGGGGGAGTCTGGGCAGGAGCTCCACCACTGAGCCATACTCAGCCCCTCACTGGGGGAGTCTGGGCAGGGCTCCACCACTGAGCCACACTCAGCCCCTCACTGGGGGAGTCTAGGAGCTCTACTGTTGAACTACATTTTGAGGCCATGTCTCACTCTGTTCCTCCAGGCTGAACTTGAACTTACTTTATAGCTGAACGTCTGTTCCTCCTGCCACAGCCTCTGTTTCTCTGGTGGCTGGGATGACCACCTGCTCCCCTGAACATGACTTCCTGACACACTTTTGATTCTTTCTTTCAAACCAACAGAATGATAATTTCTGCCATGTTTTCCTGACACAAACTCCATGATAACTATGTTAAAACTAAGTTAATAAGGCTCAAGGTGTTTACTCCTGTCCAATCTCAAGTCAGATGCTAGAACACAGACACCATCATGGGACTCTGGTCCCGGGGTGTCTTAGCCTTCTCAACTTGGACTCCCAAATCAGAAATCGGTGGAGCCCTGGAAACACTCCACAAACCAGGTGTGGTGGTTCATGACTGTAATCCCAGGAACGGGGGAGGCTGGAAGCAGGAAGACCAAGAGTTCAAGGTCAATCATTTGAGTCTAGTCGGGCTACGTGAGACCCTGTTGCAGAGAAGTCAGTGGAGTGAGGAACAGAGCTCTAGTTTTGAAAGACATGTTTATTCTGGAATCCCTAGATGTCACTATGCATGTCTGTCACTCTGTCTCCGTCTTCATTAGTAAGGCTGCTTTTATGACTGAGCGCTGGTCCTGGGAGCAGGCGAAGTGTGTGTGGTGCTCACTGCTGTTTTCTTTAGCAGCCAGCCCACATCTGCTGGCGGGACTTAAATAAATAATACTTTGCAAAACATCTGGCACCCACAGAGCCACCTCCTTCACACTCAGTCCTGCTGAGCCATTCTGCCTCAGGGTGTGGCAGAAAAGAACGTGGCCTCACAGGTCAATCAAACACAGAGTTGCTCACCCTGTGACTTCAGGTGAATGACTTTACTCTTCCGAATCTCATGGTGCCCTGCTCTAAAGTGGGAGAGAGCAAAGTAGAAGAATTCCCTAAAGGTATGCATGAGAAACATTTGTACAGAGAGAGACCGAGCCAAGCCTGCAGCAAAGGAAGAGGGTTCCATTTCTTGGTGACCTACAGGACATGTGTCAGATACTTCTTAGACCTTGTAGCTGATTTTTTAAAAAGATTTATTTATTTGTGTGTGTGTGTGTGTGTGTGTGTGTGTGTGTGTATCTCTGTGTGTGGGTAGCTGCACATGAGTGCTGTAGCCGTGGAGGCTGCAAGTGGAGCCAGATCCCCTGTAGCTGGAGTTACAGGTGGTTGTGAGACACCTGTCCTGGCTGCTGGTGTTGTCCCCTGGGAGAGTGGTAAGTATTTTTAAGCACGGAGTTGTCTCTTGCTCATTCTCATATGGAGTGGATAGAGGATTGTCACCCTCATTTCACAGATATGAAAATAAATAGCTACATCCCTCAGGAGGAAGAAATGTCGGAGTATGGGAGCTGGGAAGACAGCACCATTGGGACTATGAAGACCAGAACCCAGTGCTGGGGAGGCAGAGACAGGTGGATGCTGACTGGCCAGCCTACCCTTCTCGGCAAGCCCCAGACCGAAGGTGGGCTGTGCTTGTGGAAGGATAGCTGAAGTTGACCTCTGACCTCCCCCCACAGAGAGAGAGAGAGCGCGAGCAAGAGAGCTGCTAGTCCTATTAATTAAGTAAGATATGCATACTCACACATGTCTTTAATCCCAGCACTCGGGGACAGAGGCAGGCGGATCTCTGTGAGTTCGAGGCCAGCTTGGTCTACAGAGCGAGTTCCAGGACAGCCAGAGCTATACAGAGAAACCCTGACTGTAAAAACAAAACAAATAAAAATATATGCATCCTGTGTTCTTTGAAGTTAGTTCAGGACTTGTCACTAAGTTCTGCTTTGTCACTCAGCATCATCCTTGTCCTCGGATCTCTGAACCTTTGTTGGTGACCCTCTGACAGCTCTTAATCACATCTGAGAACTGAGAGGCGGTCATCCTTCCTCCTGTGCAGCCTGAACATATCCTACACACATTGACTCCAGTAACTCAGCCTTGGATTCTGATGGCTTGTTGCTTCTGACCTCCTGATTCTCATTGTTTTCTTTCATTTTAGAGCATCGCTCACTCCTTGGAGGGAGATGCTCTACATCTGGTGAAAGCATTTGTCAGAGTCCTCCAGTCCCACCCTCACCGGGATGGAGGAGGACTCAAGCCAAGCCAACCATAGTGATGGATCCTGGGGTGAGGGTCTCCTTCAAGCTGAACCAAAGTTGGAATCTAATTGTGCAAGGCTCCTGTTCACGCACACACTCTGTCCTCAAACAACCCAACCAGCTATGTTTCATACCACATGACACCAAATAGCCCCTGACTGGTTAGGTTTTGTCTCCTGAACAAAGTGCAGTGAAATTATTAGGTGTTCAGTAATCTATGACGTGTCTGAAGGAGAAAAGATGAGAAGGGCCAATGGCTCTCTTTTTTTATTTAAAAAACAAACAAACAAACAAACAAAAAACAAAATTCATGAATTCTTGGGGATGGAGAGATAGCTCATCCATTAAAAACACTTAATGCTTTTCAAGAGGACCTGAGTTCAGTTCCAAGCACTTCCATGGCAGCTCACCAGAACCATCTTTAACTTCAGCTCCAGAGGATCCGATGCTCACTTCTGTCAACCTGAGGCACCAGGCATGCATGTGGTGCACTCACATATGTGCAGGCAAAACCTGAGACATACTAAGAGAAAGAGAGAGACAGACACACGGAGAAACACACACACATGGGGAGTGGGGGATCGATGCCTTTGCAGAGAAAGCTGGTTCCGTTTTCAGAAACTACATGGTAGCTCACAGCCCTCTGTGTAACTCCAGCTCCAGGGAATCTGGTGTCTTCCTCCAGCCTCTGCAGACAGATGCCACATATACACATAGAAAATGTGCATAAATAAAAACAAAACAAATAGTTTAAAATGCTGAATATTATTTATTTTTAATTCCCGAGTTCTTGGCCAGATTTACAGTTCTAGGTGCACACTTCACCCTGTGGAGCAGGCCTTGAGTTCAGTCTGAAAGCCGTGAGTTACCCCACAGCATTCATGTCGCTAGAATTGTACCCATAGGCACTTAAAGAATAAAGTTAAGGCATCACGTTAAAAGTATTATGTCGAGAGGCTGGATAGAGAGCTCAGCTCGGGGTAAGAGCAGTGCGCTGCTCTCTCAGAGGACCCACCACAACCACGTGTAACTCCAGTTCCAGGGGTCCAAGGCCTACCATGGCCCCTGCACACATGTGATACATACGCATACATACAGGCAAAACACCCATGCACATAAAATAAAAACATTTTAAAATTCTATTAGAATGTCATATTAAACCTGAAATGTATAGCCAGGCATGGTTTCACCCCATGGCTTAGGAGGTGGAAGCAGAAGGATCAGGAGTTCAAGGCCATCCTTGGCTATGTATCAAGCTCAAAACCGAGACCAACTTGGGCTTTGTGAGACCATCTCAACAAATGAACAAATGAGAAAACACAGCCAGTTCTGGTGGTGAAGAGCTACAGTTTCAGCTGTGGAGCGGCTGAGGCAGCAGGATTGTACAGTCATGGCCTGCGGCGGCTACACAGTCTGTTCAAAGTTCCAGTCAATGTGGACAACCTAGTGTCTAGAAGTAGAGAGTATTAAAAAACAGTCCTGTGGGGTTGACAAGATGAGTCAGGGGTGTGAGTGCTCACCTGGATTTGATGCCTAGAACCCATGGAAAGGGGGGATGAGGGAAACAACTTCATGAAGTGGTCACCTGATCTCCATATGTATGATGTGTGCTGCATGTGCGTGTGTGCGCGCACACACACACCCCACACACGCCATGCTCACAATGATAAAGGCTTTTTTTTCTAATTAAAAGGGCTGTGGGTGTATCTCAGTTGTAGAGTTACCTAGAATCCCCCAGTGAGGGGCTATAAGTGTAACTCAGTGGCAGAGCTTCTGCCTAGACCCCCCAGTTAGGGGCTAAAGACATGATTTCGAGGCAAAGTAGTTGCCTGACATGGGGAGAGCCTGGAGATCAACCCCAGCACCAACTTTTAAGACATGATGGAGACTCTAAGCGTGGTGGTCCTCTCTCCCCATCACAGCACTCAGGAGGCTGAGGCATCAGAATCTGGATTTTGAGGCCAGTCTGTCCTGTATAACGATACCCTGTCTCATAAGGAAGTGGGGAAGGAAAAAATAAAACATTTTTTTCTTCCATAGACCAGAAGCCTGGATATTTAAACATTCTTAAATTTTTTTGATCCTTTGGAGTAACTCTTCCCACTAACTCAAGTTGTTTTTTCCCCTGCTTCTCCTTTTTAAGCTCATATAGCTCAGGCTGGCCCAAACTCACTATGTTGCTGAGGCTGGACTCAAACTCTCTATCTTCCGGCCTCAGCCTCTTGCGTGCTTGAATGACAGACATGTGCTCCCATGCCCAAGTCTCTCAAGGTCTCAGGCAATGGAATGGGCACAGAAGCCACAGGAACCAGGGACACCAAATCTGCTAGCAAGCTATAGCCCTTTCCCTCCTTCCTAAACACAGGCCAGAGTACAGCCAAGGAGTCAGCCAAAGCCCGTGTTTATTGCCACCTCTGCCACCAGGATCAGTCCCTGTAGTTCATGGTCTTCTTGATCCAGTCGACGTAGCGGCAGACTCTGGTGTAGACACCGGGTTTCTCCGGTTTCCCACAGGGGTCCGAGCCCCAGGATGTGATACCCTGGAGCACTCCATTGCACACCAGCGGGCCTCCTGAGTCACCCTGAACAGGGACAGAGTTGCATTTGCCTTAGAATGCCCACGTTTCTTTCCCATCTGCACCCAGTACTTAAAATTTTGGATTGCATTTATTATCTAGCGTGGCACGTGGGGGTCAGAGATCCTCTGGGTTCTGGGGATCAAACGCGGGCTGCTGGGCTTGAGTGTCACGTGCCTTTGCCTGCTGAACCATCTTGCATCGAACCCCTCAGAATTTAACTTTTGAGATATAGTCTCCTGTGGCTCAGGTGCCTCAAACCTCCTATGTAGCTGAGATTGACTCTGAATTTCTGATTCTCCTGCCTCCACCTCTCAAGTCCTGGGATGGCAGGCATTCACCGCCACACCCAGTTTATGCAATGCTGGGGGTGGAACCCAGGGTTTTGTGTGTGGTAGGCAAACACTCTCCCAAGAGCCTCATATCTTGGCCCTATAACCAATTCTTCAGCATGGTGGAATGGTTGGTTTCTTATGGTAAATAGGAGTAAGATGTGATGGTCCAGATGGAGAAAGTGGAGTTTCCAAAGTGGAGAATTGTTCCAAGGTGATAGCCAAACTTCTGACCAATGAGGGAAGAGAGGCAGGTGTCCACAGACTAGTCTATAGAGAAGACACTAAACTATCAAAAAGGGGACTCAGCTAAAAACTGCAGTTGGGGAGCACAGAAGAAAGAGCAGGGTCCTCATAGAGCCAGAGGGAAAGATGCCTCCCTCAGGCATGGAGCCAGTCCCTGAGGGTCCATGGGGGGAATCTCTGTGGAACAGATGTGGTCTTTAAGTTAGGCTGGGAACAACAGCATCCTTGGCCAAGGAAGAAGAAAGATCTGCTGTGAGATCTAACCATTAGTGATGGGGGAGGGGCTTCCAGGAAAGAGTCAGGGGAAGTCCTAAGGACACAGACACCCCGCAGTTGACAAGAAAGAGAATGTGACAGCTGTGGAAGAACAAATCCCAGGAGGGCAGGATGGACAGTCATTGAGGGGCTTGGAAGTCTCTAACTCCACTCCCTGGCCAAGTGGGAAGGCAATGTTGGTCCCCGAGGACACAGCGACAGAAGAAGTTCCTTTGGGAACTCAGTGGCAGAAACCACAGCAGTCCAGAGAAGCACCCTGGGAGCAAAGCATTGCCTGCTTCCTAGATTCAGGTTGCCTTCCACGCCCTCTGTCACTTCCTCACAGCTTATGGTGTAGACAAAGACTAGCAGGACACTGAAGATGGTCAGCAAGGCTCCCGAGCCTTCCAACCCCAAGCCCGCTGTGTGACCTTCTGGGAGTAGCTAGCTTTCTCTGAACTCTGCCATGTTGGCTGCTCTATGTACGAGCTCCTTTGGGTTACCCCCATCCGCACTAAACTGTGACCGGTGACTTCAGAGGTCACTCACCTGGCAAGTGTCAGCGCCATTGCTGCTGCCGGCACAGACCATACCCTCGGTGACCTTCCCGGGGTAAGCCTTCTCGCATTTGTTCTGGGAAAAGATTTCCACTTCTGCACAGTTGAGGGTGTCCGGAAAGTTCTCTGAGGAGGAAAAGGCAGAGAGAAACAGGAATCTTTCCCTCCATCCTGTCTGCCCGTGACATCCCACACCAGCGCACCTTCCTCTGTCTAGACAGCAGCCCTCGAGTCTCACCTTTCCTTCTTGCTTTCGGTCATCTTTAAATCTAGGGGTGGACGATGGGGGAAGAATTGGAATACCTCTCTGTGACACTTTCTGCCCGCTCCCAACTTTCTTGTCGCTAGGCCACTTGTCCTTAATTTCATTTACTTTTCCCAAACAGCATGTCCTCCTAGAAGCCCTTCCTGAACACTCTAACTGAGTACATCTGTCTGTCCACACCTGTGATTGTGTATGGGGGAAGGGCCAGGAGGGCAGAGGGAGAAGGAGAGAGAATACAAGCTGAATTAAAGCCCTCATGCGTGTTAGATAGGTCCTGTGAATTAAAGCCCTCATGCGTGTTAGATAGGTCCTGTGAATTAAAGCCCTCATGCGTGTTGGATAGGTCCTGTGAATTAAAGCCCTCATGTGTGTTGGATAGGTTCTATATCGCTGACTACACGCCCAATCCTCTTTTCCCTTAATTTTGTTTCTTTTGAGGGCAGTCTTATGTAGCCAAGGCTGGTTTCCAGCTCTCTGTGTAGCTGAGTGACCACCATCCAAGTACTGGGGTGACAAAGTGTGCATGTCACATCACAGTTTTTATTTTATTTATTTTTATTTTATGAATCTCGGTAAGCTGCTTAGACTGACATTGACCTTGGGCTCGTCCTGCCTCAGCTGCCTGAGCACCTGAACAGATAGATCTGTGCTCCCTCACCTGAGCACCTGACCAGATAGTTCTGTGCTCCCTCGCCTGAGCACCTGACTGGATAGATCTGTGCTCCCCCAGCCGACTGAGCACCTGACCGGATAGATCTGTGCTCCCCCAGCTGAGCACCTGACTGGATAGATCTGTGTTCCCTCACCTGAGCACCTGACTGGATAGATCTGTGCTCCCCCAGCCGACTGAGCACCTGACCGGATAGATCTGTGCTCCCCCAGCTGAGCACCTGACTGGATAGATCTGTGCTCCCTCACCTGAGCACCTGACTGGATAGATCTGTGCTCCCCCAGCCGACTGAGCACCTGACTGGATAGATCTGTGCTCCCCCAGCTGAGCACCTGACTGGATAGATCTGTGCTCCCCCAGCTGAGCACCTGACTGGATAGATCTGTGCTCCCCCAGCCGCCTGAGCACCTGACCGGATAGATCTGTGCTCCCCCAGCTGAGCACCTGACCGGATAGATCTGTGCTTCCCCAGCTGAGCACCTGACTGGATAGATCTGTGCTCCCCAGCCACCTGAGCACCTGACCGGATAGATCTGTGCTCCCCCAGCCACCTGAGCACCTGACCGGATAGTTCTGTGCTCCCTCACCTGAGCACCTGACCGGATAGTTCTGCGCTCCCTCACCAAATTTCCTATCCTCTTGCCCTTCTCAACTTTCTGTCACAGCAAGGGCATCTCCCTAACAAGTGCTAGGCCCTCTGCCAATCTCTAATACTGATAACAAATTAACGACTGAAATTACAATTAACTTTGCTATTAATCCCTTTTTGGGAGAAGACAGCAAAAAGATCTGGAATCTGTCTGCTCGCCAGTGACCCCCACAAAAGCTCCTTGAAGGGGTCAGAATGCATTTATTCATTTTTTTTCATTCATTCATCCGTGCAGGAAAGTTTACCAAGCCTCTGCAGGGTTCCAGGGAACTTCCAAGCACCAGGAACAGATGGGGCCAGGAGTAGTGGCAGACACTTTTAATACCTGATCTTGAGAAGCAGAAACAGAAGAATCTGCAAATTCAAGGCCAGCCTTATCTACACACACAACAAATAAATAAATAAAATGTAATAGAAGTAAAGAAAACAGAGCCTTCATGGCGCTTGCTGCCAACTGGATGCGGAATCCCTAGCCACACTGGGGAAAGTGAGGCTGGGATGGGAAGTGGCTCCCCCAGGGCTGATGGAAAGATCCAGTCAGTTCCTCAGCGTACATTTTCAAGTCAGACTCTCTCCATAGCAGTCAGACATGTAGGGACCTGACTTCTGGCACCGCCAATTCCTGGAGTGCCCCATTGTCTCCCTGAATTGTGTTTGGACTCCTTGGGATCATGGAGGCTGGGTGGTGATGAGGGGGAGTGAAGAAGAAGGATGGGATCAAGCTGAAGCTTGTGCTTGAGTCTGCTAGGGAGTGTCTACAAAGTTCTATACAATGGAAGTGTGTGCAACATGAAGGACTTTCTTTTTCTTTCTTCCAATCTACTTAACAGTATCAACCTGTTTAATCTCTTTCCAGTATCTATCATTCAAGGTTTCTAATGTGGGCCCAGGTGAATGAGTGTGTTCGTGTGTTCAGCAGTTAACCAATGGCGTTGATCCTCAAGACAGATTCTACCTTGCTTTTTGAGTCATCAGTTCAGCTAGGCTGTCTGGCCAGAGCATCCCAGGGATCCGGCTGTCTGTCTATCTCCCCAGCGTTGCGGTCACGAGAGCACACCATGGTTGGCCGAGGTGGCACAGCAGGTGAAAATACTTGCTGTCCAGTCTCACAACCTGAGTTCCACCCCTAGGACTGATTTCTACACACTGCCCTCTGACCTTTGCATGTGTGCATACATATACAGACAAATAAATAAATATGATTTTAAAAACAAACAGTGTCTATTCTAGATATATGCATTAAGACGGGGTCTCTCATTGAACCTGGATCTCACCCTTTAGGCTACGCTTGGCTAATGAACCCTGGGATCCACCTATCTCCACTGGGGTTACTAGCCATGTGGCTACGCTTGGCTTTAACGTGGGTGCTGGGAATCTGAACGCAGGTCCTCACCCTTCTTGGCAAACAATTTACTTGCAATCCTGCTCCCTCCCCCAACATTCTCTCCCCTCCTCCATAAAACTTAATGCCAGTGGTCACTTTCCTCTTTCATGTCTACCCATTAGGGTGCAAGGCTTGAGGTCCTGCCTGCCTTCTCTTCACCCTCCGAGCAAGGGCCCAGCTCATTACCTCGAGGACTGGTGACAGTGCCCCAGCCTGATATGACGCACTTCTGGCCAACTTTGGGACACAGATTGGCCAGTTTGATGGGCTTCACTTTGGGCCCGAGGTTTGCTGAACGGCGCATTCGAACGAGCATTACGTCATGACTGTGATCCTCTGGGTTGCTATTGTTGTAGCAAGGATGCTGGATAGACTGAGCCACCTGGATCTCCTGTTCTGGGGCATCTCGATTCTGCAGGCTGTGATCTCCCAGGCGCACTGAGTACTTCCTGCACAGGGGTGGGGGATGGAGGTTGAAACCCAGGCAGGAGTTGGAGGTATGTAGGCGGTCTCCCCAACCCTTCTCCTTTAGAACCCAATTCTCTTCCACCACCGAGTCCAAGAGGTCCTAGCCTGTCTAACTTAGATCCAGTGATCCTCCCTAACCCTCCTCCCTCCGACCCAGGGCTCTAACTTCCTCCTCCTCAAGGAGAGCCCTCACCCCTTCCCTCCAGTCCCACCCACCTCTGCCCAGGCCCTCCACTCACTGTTTTTTGCAGTGGGCTGCAGTGAGGACCCACTTGTCTCCTACCAGGACACCCCCGCAGACCAGTCGCGGTCCCTGGAACAAGGCTGTCTGCCAAGGCTGGGAGTGGGGTTCACACTCCTGACCCTCCAGGACCTTGGAGCCCTGAGCTCTGGTGAGTCCTGCATCATGAGGGAGAAGGGTGGGTTGCCACCCTCTGGGGGCAGAGCCAGGGCCAGGAAAACCACTGTGGGTTCATATGGACACGCAGGCCAGTTCCTCTGCATGCCATCTCTTTGGACTTCAACAGATGAGGTCCTGGCATCCATAGGAACGCGGCCACGTGGCCGCACATGTAAACTCATTGAGACCTGAGAATCATCAACACTAGGCGCAGCCCTCACCATCCTTCCCCATACATCTAGATGGGTCTTTATGTGTCCCCACACTCAAATTCCACTCCTTGGCTGGCAGGACATGAGTCTCTTCTGCGGTCATGCACCTACGGAAAACTCAGCCCACTACCCCTGCCGCATGTTGCCACCTCTACTCACGTCCAAGAAAGCTCCTCAGTCCCCCAAACCACCACATGCACCCTCATGCCAGCAGGAGCTCGCTCAGAGTTCAGTAACCCCCACCCTACCAAAAGCCCTGATTGGTAGCACCTATTCACCTCACCTGCCCACGCTCCCATCAGCAGAAACAGAAGGATCCATGTCTGGGTTGCACAGGGTGGGGGGCGTCCCATGGTGGCCTCTGAGGAAGAGGGTGGAGCTGAGAGGACGGCGGAGGGAGGAGCCTGAGATCTTGTTTTGAGAACCAGGAGAAGGAGGTGTTGCCGGGAGGATGGAGTTGGGGGACAGAGGAAGCTGGGACAGAGCTCTAGATCGAGGAATTTTCTTGTGGGGGACATCTTCCTGGTTAGGATCCCGACATTCTTAAGGAAAAAGCTCTGACCCACTCGTGGGATGGCGGAGAAAGATCTGAGGCTGTGACTCTAACCTCCTGGGGAGGAGGGAGCTGGGAGGCCTGCTTGAAAATCCTGAGGGAAAGGATGTGAGGCTTGGGGGTCCTGGGCTCAGGGGAGGGGGAGATCCCTACGCTTGTCTGGGGACCTCTGCGCCTCACCTTCCAGAATGCAGGGGGCGGGGTCACTCGGACTGGTGGAAGAGGCCCCCGGACTTCCTTCTCTGTGTTGGGTACACGATTTTGCAGCCTTTTAACTAGGAAGCCCCACCCGCGGCCCCGCCTCCTGCCCGCATCTGGCCGCAGTGCGGCTGAGCCCGCAAGCACGCGAGGAAGGGCGGGGGCTGGAGTGACTTTAGAAGGAGGGGCTGGAGTCTCCGAAGCCCAGGTGAGGACTGGAGGGACTATGCACCGACCCCCGGACTAGAACAGAAAGAGCTGGGTCAGGGAGGGATGCAGCGGGAATCTGCTCTCTTGGGTCTGAGGGAGGAGACTAGGGTCTGGATCCTTGCATCTGAGGGAGTAGGGAAGGGTCTGGACCTCTGGGTCTGAGAGAGGAGCGCTGAATCTGCATCTTTGGGTTCGAGGGAAGAGGGCTGGTATTTGGTATCTGGGTCTGAGAGAGATGGGCAGGAGCCTGGACCCGAGTGTGAGGGAGGAAGGTGGAGCCTGAATCCCTGAGTCCGAGGGAAACGATCTGAATTTTGAATACCTCGTCTGAAACTCTGGATCTGAGGAAGGAGGGCTAAGATGTGGAGCCCTAAGTCTTAGGGTGGAGGCTGAATCTGAAGGAGGCGGAATGGGGTGTTCTCCAGGGTCAGATGGAGCAGGGGACTGTTTTCTGTCGGAACTGAGTTTTGTGGAAGGTGGGGAAGGCATGTGTTCTGGTTGGGGACTTTGAGGGTGGATCAGCAGTCGTCCTGGGGCATCTGGGTAGGCAGGTTAGGGTGGCGCTGTGACCTGGTTTCCCCTTCCCCCTGGGGCGGCGGGACGAGCCCTGGCTGAAGTCCCAAAGTGCAGCAATAGGCTTGTTGTTAGGGTTAGCCCAAAGGTTCGGCTGGTGTCGGTTCCCTCATTTGCCCTTTCCTTCCCACCTCTGAGTACCCTTCATCTAACATATCACAGACGAGAGGAAGTCACCGCCCTGTGCTTTATTCTAATTCATACTGTGACTCTAAAGAGATCAATGCCCCCATCATCCTCTCTCAAGAGTCAAACCCACGACACAGCCTGGGCAGAACTCAAAATCTTCAGAAATCCACGTGGGCGGAGTTAACGCAGTCCTGACATCACCGGTGGTGGGGCTAAGCAGGGTGGAGACCGGAGAAGAAATCTCATAAGGTAGAATTTGGAGTGATGCAGCTATTTAGTGAAAGATATTTCTTGGCGGTGATCGTGAGGGTTGGGCTACCCCAGAGAGTAGTTATTAAAGTCAGTCTGGGTCAAGGGTAAAGAAGGCGTGTCTCTTGGGCTTAGAGGGGGCGTGGTCTTATAATTTATTTGCCTGGGAGCAAAACCCGAGAGGTCAGATGACCTAGGTGGGTGGAGTCTTGGGCGGAGCCTAAGCGGTGGAGTCCGAGTGGAAGAGTGGGGGGGGGAGTGGGGGGGGGGTGGGGGGGGGTTTCAACGTCCAGAGCTGTGATGCAGAGGCAGGAGGTCCTGCATCCATCTTCCTCTCCTGTCTGTCCTTACTATAGACTGTTTTCTTCCATGGTTTTTTGAACCCAGTCCCGGTAGTGGCATACGCTGGTGTAGACAGCGGGTCTCTGGGGTCTGGAACAAGGCTCAGATCCCCCAGACACTATACCCGCCAAGGTTCCGTTGCACACCAGGGGTCCCCCAGAGTCACCCTGTGCAAGGTGGAGAGCAGAGCTGTTAGCTGGGTCTGTTCATGGGAATCGAAGCTTCCTTCTTCTGAGAAAGCCTCCGGTTTCCTGCTGTTCAACACTCTGGAGGCTTGGCTTGCAGTCTCCCCTCCCTCAGACCAAGGAATAAAGGATCACAGACCTTATCCCCACCCCATCATGTAGCATCCTGGGCTCCCAGAATCACTCAGGGCTTAGCCTGGATCCCCAGGACCCTTCTTCCCTAGGTCCTGGAGTCTGTGACTCCAGGCGTCTCCTGCCCTAAGGTCTAGAAAAGGGCCTCCATTTTCCTGCAGGGGGTGGCTCACCTGGCAGGATCCTCGGCCACCCTCCCACAGGCCAGCACACAGCATCTTGTCAGAGATGTGGCCCGGGTACGCCCACCGACAGAGCTTGTTGTCCAGGATGCTGATGTTGGCGCACTGAAGTGTCATTGGGTACTGTACTGTTGGGGAAGAAGGAAGAGGATGGAGGATGTTCCCAAAATCCCAGGCAGCACCCTCCAGAACCTTCCCTACAGCCCTTCCTTCCCCAGGACCCCTACAGAGCCACAGGGCCAAGGTCCAAAGACAGAGGTAAGAGATATCAACCCAGTCACAGGGTTGGAGAACAGATGTCTAAGAGGGGGAGAAGACCAGAAGGAAGAGAAGACCAGAAATAGGAAGATGTGTTTGTGCGCGTGCATGTGGGGGCATGCGTGCATGTGCGTGCATGTGCGTGCGTGTAGCTCACAGGGGTGGGGTGAACAGAGACCAGGGAGGGAGATGAACACCCTTGAGAGAAAAACCACTGTCAGAGACAGATGGCAAGGCAGACACACAGAGAAAAGGGTTGGGAGGCGTTAACGGGAAGCAGACAGCACAGTGGGAGTACGTGGTTTCTTGTAGACAGAAATTCCTGGAGTGTAGTCTCTGTATAATTTGATCTTGCCAAGTGATGCTATTTTGAGAGTGTGAACACCTTTTAGCCAATCTTTGAATTTTATTATTTGTTTATACTTTTTTTGAGACAGATTCTATAAAGCCTTGGGTAGAACTTTCTATGTAGACCAGGCTGGCTTCAGATTCCTAGAGATCTGCCTGTCTCTGCTTCCCGAGTCCTGGGATTAAAGACATATACTACCATACCCTGCCCCGGACTTTCTGAGTGTGTGTGTGTGTGTGTGTGTGTGTGTGTGTGTGTGTGTATGTGGTATACACACATTCGAGCGTACACAGCTGTGTATGAGTATACAGAGGTCAAAGGAGGCCATTGGGCCCCTACTCTGTCACTCTACTTATTATTCCCTTGAGACAAGGTCTCTCATTGAACCTGGAGCAAGGCTGGGAGCTAACACATTCCATAGTGGGGAGGCTTGGGAGGAAAAAAGGAGGAGGATGGGAAGAGGATAAAAAACGGAGAAGGAGGAAAGGAGGAGGAAGAAGGGGAGAGGAGGAAGAAGGAAAGGAAGAGGAAAAGGGGAAAAGAGGAAGAAGATGGAGGAGGAAGAAGAGGAAGCAGAAAAAGGAAAGGGAAAAGAAGAGATTAGTAGGAGGATGTGAAGGAGGAATGGAGGAGGAAGAGGAAGACAGGTGGGGGGAGATGGTTAGGAATGAGTGAGGCTCAAAGGCACATCCGTACGTTTTGAGCTGGACACGCTGCCCCAGCCAGAGATAAGGCACTGGGAGCCCACGGACGGCAGGCTCTGGCTGAGGTTGAGGGGCTGCACAGCTGCACTCATCTGGACCCTCCTGGGTAGCCGGATCAGCATGATGTCATCATTATGGTCATTGGCAGAGAGGTCGGAGTTGAACCCAGGATGGGGGAAGAAGTCCGTGGCCAGAAGCAGCTTCTCAGGGCCTTCCCACTGCCACAGATGATGCTCCCCAAGGCGGACCCACAGGTACCTGTGAGGACAGGTGGCTCAGTCCCTCCAAGACACTGTGTGCCTCTCCACAACCACACACCCTCTCTGAGGCTCTTAGCCCACGTTTTGGAGTCAACCACCTTTTTTGCTACCCCACCTGGGGCCTCAGTGGTGACCTGGGTCCATTAGAACCTTGTGGATGCATGGGGACCCCACCCCTGCCCCCACAGGTCTGGTGGCTTCTGCGGAGGTGGTTTTAAGTGTTTTTAGAGTGTGTGTGGAGGGGATGGGACATGGACAATTTCCAGGTTTTCCAAGAGGCCTTAAGCCACTCCCACCTATAATATCCTTTATCGCCCAGACATTTCCTCTTCAGATCTAACCCAGGTTCTCTTGCTGTGACCCTAGAAAACTTGCTCTGGTCTGAGTCTGTGCTTTCAATATTTGGGGACTTTCTAAGGTCTCCGTGTAGCCTAACCTCCGACCTTCCATGGTGATGATTGAAAACTCAGGATCTGGAAGTGTGTGGTGTTATTTCTATGCCTACCCCTCTCTGACAACCTGGGGGGCAGAAGTTAACCCTTTCGTGCCACCTAGCCTCCCTGACTCTTCCTCCATCTGCACAGCCTTGCCTTTTCTCCTCTTATCGCAGGGACTAAATCAAACATCACTCTCTCAGCCCAAGATGGTACCCATCTTGGCGGGATGCATATTGGAAAATTTCTGGCAAGAATGTTGGAACAGCCTGGGTGACCTTGGCCGGGGCAATGAACAGAGAATTCTTTCACCCCATGGGGTCCAGGACCCTAGAACACCTAGAATCATATGCTAGAATTCTAAGTCTAATACCTAACGCTCTGGGATTGTGTGGTGCTTCACTTAGGGAACTGTATAGATCCACACTTCTAAATATTCTACATCTTATTTCATCACAACGTCTGAGGCCTTAGTCCTGGATGAGGGCCTGTCATCCAGCACTCAGGAGGTGGAGGTCAGAAGAACAGGAGTTCAAGGCCATCTTTGGCTACATAGCAGGTTCAAGGCCAGCCTGGGCTATGTGAAATCTTGTCTGAAAAACAAACTCCAGGATTTTAGAAATGTCTGCATTAAACCTAATGGTCAAAGGTCTTAGACTCCCAGCATTCTAGGACAGGAAGGCAAGAGTCTCACTAGTCTAGCAGTCTGTAAACATTTGCTTTAGAAAATGTTAAGGATCCACAGCTTGAGTTCCTGAGAGAAGCCCTCTTGGTCCATAACATTCTGCAGTGGTGGGATTCTGGGACATGAAACCCACCAGATTTATATGTCCATCAGTCTAAGCTTCTAGAATTCTCTGTGTTCCAAACACTGGCTGAAAAATTTAGCAATTTCTGACTATAGGATTCTGTAATTTTTCCTTCTGTCTTTCCT